TCTCCTTTGTTCCTTAGAGCAAATAATTCCTGTTTTCGGTTGTCAACTGAGTTACAAATCCATGGCAAGTAAATACAAAGCCTGCTCTGCCTCAGGTGATGGTGTTTCTCTGGGTTTGCCGTGGACTGATGGGTTGTTTTGTAACTTCCACAGTATATGATATGATCTTGTTTGGTTTGGGACGGTAAAGGTTGTATAATGGCACCTCTATGACCTTTACCCACCTGTGCTGCTGAGCTGGTCTAGTAAAATTTGAAATAAAAATGTATTCATGAAGAAATATGTCACATAAGAAGTACTGTTTAGAAGATGCCAGGGGAGTTCAGACACCGACACAGAAATGGTCTGTGTACCTTTCTGTTTATTTATCAGTATCTCCTTTCTAAACACTTCATGTGTTTATAAATGGCTTAATGTGGCTTCTTATTTTGAAATAGATCTCATTTTGTCTGCTCTAGGCAGCATTTAAACAGGAGAAGTTGCATGGGATGCCTGTGCTCTCCCCTTGGGGGGAAAGGGTGGTGGTTTGCAACCATATTTGAAGAACAGGCATTTGTGCTCTTCCCCATTTTGAATCGAGCAGCTGAACAGGGCGAAGCTTCGGCTCTTAAACCCGGTTATGTTTGTACTTGGGCACTTTGTTTATGCGAAACAAAGCTCAGTATTAGGCACCACTGGTTACTGCCAGCTGGGCCCTCGCTCTCCCGTCACAGCTGTGCCTCCAGCGCCCAGCCCTGCAAAGAATGGCTAATTAGAGAACCGGGCAGAACAAAGCCCACACAGTGGGGCTGCCACAATGGCATTCCTGTCCCTGCATGCTCAAAAGATTGATTTTATTTCTTTATTCCTCCCCCCCCCCCCCGTGCCTATAGTACAGCACAGATCAATAAGTGCTTCTTCTCCCGATGGAGGCACAGGCTCTTCCACTATTTTTTCACCCCTGAGAACATGCATTTGCACGGGAGTGACATGGAAACGGGCAGGGCTGGGCACAGTGTTGCAATTGGGAGTCCTCTGAGGTTTTCATACCTTAACATGCGTTGCTTCAAGTGAAAATGGTAATTAATGTGTGTCTGTGTGAGGTGATATTTTATTGTCAGTGTAGGCGGAGCTGTAACTGGATGAAGCCCAACATTCAGTTAGAAAACCTAGTTCACAATTCAGTACAGAACCTGAATGTGCTCTAATTAGGCTTGCCAGGTTTCCTGTCTTTCCTGTGGGCTCACCTCTTCCCAAGTGGGAAGTTCCCAGCGAGGGGAGGTGTGTGTCCAGCTATAGGTGCTCAGTTATACTCTGAGCCTCTCCACTGACTGTCACAGTCTGGACAAAACAGCTTCCCTCACCCAGGTCATTTTGGCAAGCACCTCTGTAATCCCAAACTTCTCAGCTGTATTTGTGTCTTAAAATTTCTGGAAAATCCGAGTATCCAGCTGAATGCTTCATTAGTGTCAGCTTATTTGCAGTGTGAAATTAGAGAATAATTATACTTCTAATGGACGTGATGTACACGAGTTCTGTGAGTGGCTGATCTAAGTTTTTATTAGAACTTCCACTGAAAGTTTTGCTTTCAAGTTCATCGAGGTTTTAGGGGGTAATAATTCCTTATGGTTTGATTCTTGGCTTGGAAGGGGAAAGCCAGGTCCCTGTTTCCAAGTCACTGGTAAGTTTGTGGAGTTGGCAGTGCAGCCTCAGTGAAGCTGTTTGCTGGCTGTGCTGGGACTTAAACTGAGGCAGATTTTCAAAAGAAAACCTGCAAATACTTATATTTGGGAGGGGGAAAAAAAAGTATTAGGTGTTCTGTTCCAGAACCTTTTAAAGAAGAGCATGTCTTGAGTTAACTGCAAAGTTTAAAGTTGTTTCCCTCTGTATTCCGTTCAAGTTCGAAGCAGAGTGTGAGGAAGGTTCAATGCAACTCGTCGTGTAATAACCTCCCTCCCCGGATTTCTCCTGTACTTTAGACCTCAGAAGTCGCTATTTCCTTTCCCTGCGTTTAAAAAAAAATAATAAAAAAACCAAAAAAATCACCCTGAGTTTACAGTAAACCTGAAAATCATTTCAAGTGGGCAAAAGGAGGTCGCTTTGCTGCACGCCAGGAGCCCGTGAAGCGCTGCCCGGCCAGGGCAGGCTGATTTTAATGAGGGCAGCTCTAATGACTCATCAGCCTGACTCAGGGCCTTTTCATACAGAGCGTAATTAGATCGGGAAGGCAGAATGAGCTGGAGGTCAAAAGTGTAAGTGGATTTAGGGAGAAGAAAGGGGTGAGCTCACAGGGGACGAGCTGGGTGTCTGTGAGGGTTTTTAGCGGGCGGTGGATTCGTCGGGGCTGGTGCTCGGGGTGTTTGGGTTAATAATATGGCCCTAATGAGTGGCGAGGTGACTGAAGGCTGCTGAAATTTTAAGCAAACAAGGTTGTGCTGTGGCATCAGCACATCAGCGTGTGCTCTTCCAGTGCTACAGTTCTGCGGACATCGCCCCAAGCTGACATTTCTTGCATTTACATTCCTAATTTTGCAAAATAAAATGAAATCCACAGCTGTAGTAGTAAGTAGTGCTGTCGAAGTATTCGGTCTGTTTGATGTGCCAGGATCACAGTCTGCTTCTTATCTGCTCTATCACTGCTGCACCTTGTATGTCACACAAAGAACAAGGAAGGTACAAGGAAATACTGAGCCCTTGTGCCCTGGCCCAGCTAATTTGTACCAGGACGTTCAGATCTGTCTTAAAACCCAAAGAGCTGTGAACGCCCCTCCTTTGGATTCGGTTTCACTTGATCTTCGGTTTAGAAAGCCCGTGCTAAAAAGCTGTCAGGAGAAATAATGCTCAGAAGTTAAAGGAACGTGAGAATGATGGACTCAGCCAGGTCACGGCCTCGGGGAGCTCTCCAAGGAGGCAGTCAGTGTAAGTTCCTCGTTTTCCATTTCCTGGTTTTCCCCCGACTCTGCGTTTCTAGTGATGCTCAGTGATCCCATTTAATCCAGGCTGTGCTGTGCCAGGAATTACACAGAAGTGTGCGAGGAGAGCCCTCATCCTGACAAGTCTCTAGTTGCTTTTGAGCACTGTAGTGATGTCCAGCACCCCTCTGGGGGGAAGCAGCTTGGAAAGGGGCTGCAGATCAGGAGGCAGGTAAGCAATTAATGTAATCCTATTTAATGCAACAAACAAATCCCATCTTTCGAGCCTGATGGCAGGATCTTGCCTTGCCTGTGAAGATTTTAAGTTCACCTTTGTACATGTGATGTTCCACTGGAAGCAGTGGGATTACCTTCAAAGGGAAGGATTACAGGGGTTTGGCTCTGAAACCAGCCCTCACAACACAAAGCAGGTTGCTTTGCTGTTGCACAATAATAAAATGGAAAAGCCTGTTTGCAGGTGACTCTGATGCTGTGGTACACAGTAAAATTGCCTGCTTTCCCCCATACATAAAATTCAAAGTACTTAATAGCTATTTGTTGCTGTGCATGGGGATTTCTGAATGCTGTTTTAGAAATTCCATTGCCAGGAAATATTTTACACCTCCTCTATGTTTACATAACGAAGTATAATTTTTGCTTTGTGGATACATCAGAGATGTGAAGTCCCACAGAATTTCTAATTAAGCACAGAGGAGCAGTAGCCTTGGGAGCAGTTTCTCAGCCAGAACAGGCTCATCCCTGGCAGCAGAAAACCACGTGTCTGACCATGCAGAAGTAGTCACAGGTAGGACCTCCTGATGCCAGGATCCTCTGGGATTATTTGCTCCATCCAAAGGCCAACCTCACCAGTCAAGGCTGAGATGTTGGGCTTTCCAGAATGGTTTGTCCCAGAGCCCACAGAAAGTTATTTTCTCTTGAGCTTTAAACTGATAAGAAATGGTTTAAGATGTAACTAATTGAACCACTCCAGTTGTTATAATTCAATGACATTTGCAGCATGCCTTAGGTCCTTAACTAAGATTCAAGGACGAGCTTTAAATAAATCACAAAACCACTTGGAAACTTTTTTGTGTCAGAAGTTCAGCCCCTAATAAATGATTCAGCTTCGAGGCAGGTCACAGCCGCTTCCCCTCCTTCCCCTCCTTCCTCTCCCTTCACATGAATAAAAAATAGGAAGAGAGAGCGCACTGGAAAAGGGTGAAGTGTGGCCTGTAGAGAAAATGGGAGTGTTTTTTGCTGCATAGCAGAGAGCAGAGCGGGTTTGGGGGCAGGTTTTGTGCTGGGATCCGATAGCACGGCGTTACTCCGGTCCTGCCCGCCCCGCTATTTATTCCCGGGACAAGAGGCACATTGTGAGCAGGGCTCTTGATTTTTCTCTTTGCTCACTTCCTATTGCTGTGCTGGTGTTGAGCAGGCTTGTGCTTACACTTGGTGAGGCCAGAATTGAACCAGGTCCCGAGAAACACAAAATATTCCTCATCCCAGTGATATATCTGCATGTCTGTGGGGTCATTTTTTTTTTTTGTTTCCCCTTCTTCACATGCTGGAAACCGAAAGTGGTTTTTTTTTTTAAGCTCTGGCTTCTTTCAATTTGTGTTTATTATTTTCATACGAAAGAAAGCAAAACAAGCCTTTTGAGGTACTGTCACTTTCTTAAAAGCTGAAAATGCCACAGCCAAGCCCCAGCTTCATTCACACTTTCCCTGTGCCGTGCTTCCAGGCTGATGCTACAGCGTGGATCTGTTTCCTGCAAAGTGGATCTCTTCGTGTTTTGCTGAGTTAAAATGTGATGTGTTAACTTGTGAGAGGGTGTGTCAACTGATCAGTGAAGGGACAGATTGTCTTAAATCACTAGGGGTTAATATGGAAGCTAAAACAAACATGGAAGGGTTTTGCTGTTCGTGGCCTGCGCCATGGATTCTGAGTCATCGAGTCATCGTTCCCGGTGATATCTGGAACGTTTGCAGCTCCTGAAACTTGGCTCGTGAGGCAACCAAGGCACCCCCAACTGTTCTTCCTCAGCCCTGTTTGCTCCCTGTTCGTGTGCTTTGCCCGTGTGGTGCTCAGTGTCGGTTTTCCCTCCCCCAGGATCTCCAGGCGTGGGTGAATGGTGCTAACGAGAACGGCTTCGTGCTCGTCTCCTTCGGGGCTGGAGTGAAGTACCTGTCGGAAGACATCGCCAACAAGTTGGCACATGCCCTGGCCAGGCTGCCCCAGAGGGTTATTTGGAGGTGAGTGCAGTGGGGGAGGCGCTTGGGGTGCTCTGCACCAGCCTTGTTTCCTGCTGTGCCATCTGAACCCGGAGTTGCAGAGGCTGGAATTGGCACAGAGCACCTGACTCTGCTGAAAGGCACTCCTCATGGAAATAGTGCAATTCCCCAGCAATAAAGGGGAGCACTGATTTTTTTTTTTGTGGCACAATAAAGCATGGGTTACATTCCTGTGCCCATTTGATATCCTGGAAGGACTGGGGACAGTGAAAAGAATCTGAGGTTATAACATCTATGACATACTGTCATCATTTTTGACAAAAAAGCCACCCCGGGGCTCAAGAGTGAATCCTGATGATTAAATCCTAGGTTTTCTTCTTCTTCTTTCCCTTTACCCTCACTTTTTTAGGCCCCTTTTCCATTTTCATCTGTGAACACAGGCTTTCATTATTGATTTTCTCACTTGTTTTTGGTTTTTGTTTTTTTTCTGTGAGAAATTGGAGGGAGAGAAATCTGCAGGAGTCAAAATCAGCAATAAGCTTTCTCAGCTCTGAAAACATCTCGAGTGGTGCTCTCAACTCGCTGGAAAAACCCCAAAATTGTTTAGTCAGCTCTGCTTCACGTGGAGCATCAATGATTCATTTGGAGGAGTTCATGTGAACCGTTTATTTCTAAATAATCAGTGTCTTACAATGCCTGCCTTGCTGCCCTGCTGTTGGAGTTGTATTAACAGGCTATTTAGCAGCCTGTTCCCTGCCATCTCTTAAGGAATGTCCTCACTGCTGTGTGTAATTGGAGTGGCAAACCCCACTAATGAACAGGAAAATGGGAATTCTTCAGCCTGTGGCACAGAACCTGGGGTAGTTGGAGTAAAGATGGCATCACTTGTGGTTTGGGGTAGAGCCACTATGTTTTCTCTGCTTGGCTTCCAGTTAATTATTGGTCCCAGTTGATCTTGCTGCTTTTCTTCTCTGTCCTTTCATTATATTTTCCCTGGAATATTTCTCTGTACAGGTATCCACTTTTTGTAGTAAGTCAGTCAATGTAAGTCAGTCAATTTTAACAGATTTTTTTCCTTGATGATAGCTTTTTTAATGCCAAAACAACAACTTCAACTGAAGCCTTCTATTAAATGGCTTTTTTTGCTAGTGTTTCCTTAACATTTTTCCTTGTGGTGGATTTTTCTTTTTGTTACCTGCAATCTATATTTTGCTGAATGGCTTTTTGGATAAGGGAACCCAACCTGCTGTTTCTTTCCATCATGATTTATAAAATGGGAAGATGTCCCTGGGACAAAGGGCAAGACATGATCTTTTGGAGAGATAGGCAGTCGATCCACCCCAGTGGGAATTTGAGATCCATAATTAAATACCTAAATATTATCAGTCAAACACGGCTTGGAGGTTTTTTTTGGGGGTGGTTGGGTTCATTTTTGACATCACTGACCTATGCCTGTGTTGGACACAGGTGGATTTATACTGGATACTTCTGGGAATGAGAGAGGTGGTAGTACAGCTTGGCAGTCTTACGTCACCGTGATAAACCAAGGGAATCTTTGTAGTTCTTTGGATTATGGAGCCCAAACTAGTAACTGTTTAGTTGCTTTTCTGTAACTTAATGTAAATAGTCTTCTAATAATACATAGAGAATGTACAAGCCAGTCCTAAGTAAGTCTTGCTTAATTGGGAATGAGTGGGTGGTTGTTTAAGTAACTGTTCAAATGCTCTCCAATAAACAGAATATTCAAGTGGGTCGATGGAGCTGCCACAGAACAGCTCTGTCCTATAGGACTCATTCTGGAGGTCTTGATAACTCCAGCTTCCATTTGATTTTTCACTGGTTTAGGTTTTCAGGGAACAAACCAAGGAATTTAGGCAACAACACGAAGCTGATTGAGTGGTTACCGCAGAACGACCTCCTGGGTGAGTATCTGTTTTGATCAGACACTGCCTGTTCTCACTTGATTTCAGTTTGCTCTGCTAAAAATATTCTGCTGTGAATGAGCAGTTATTATTAAGCCAGGATCGCTTCTGTCATGCAAGTCAGAGAGCAAGGATACAGAATTAGGATTTCAAGATGATAGCTGAGTCCCTTGAGGATAGGAGAGGCCACAGAGTGTTTCGGACTGTCTCTGGGATACCTGGATGTTTGTGTTCCCAAAACAGCTCCAGTGGGTGCTGATGAATGCATTAAGCATCAGTGTGTGTGCTGTGTGTCAGCTGGAGTATTTATCCTAACGTGGTGATTAGGCAGATGACTTCTAAAGCAGGTAGATTGTTTTGGTTACAGAAGTGCTCCGAGGCAGTGTGATTTTTTTTTTGGTTTTTTTTTTCCCCATTCCATGGAGCTGTTACTGTGGTTGTCAGCGTTTGCTGGCCTGAAGTAAGGCATGGGAGGCTTTAGAGAGAGCCTAACATCAGTTGTCCTGCATTTGAAGGTCTTGTATTTCATCCTCAGACGTGCTCTCCCTCGCTCACTCGTACTGCTAAACCTGCTGCGGTCACCACCTGCAGCTACTCGCCAGTGGGAAGTGCATGTTAATGACTCCATTAATCATTTTACATGACTCATGTACATGAGAACTTTCTTTGCTTGGGCTGTTCCCTCTCGTAGTGTATCAGGAAGTGATTTAATGCACGAGGAATTTCAGCAGAGTGGGCTTAGGGAGAGCTTTAGGATAAGTTGAAATAATTTTTGCCTTGCCTGAGTCTCAGCCGCAGGAAACACTGACAGATATGTTGTACCCAGGTGCTTCAATAACTTCACAATAAGGAGATAGAAATGTGTCTTTTAACCTTCATGCCTCTTCTGTTTTCAGGTCACTCCAACATCAAAGCTTTCCTTAGCCATGGAGGTTTGAACAGCATTTTTGAAACCATGTACCACGGGGTCCCAGTGGTGGGGATCCCCCTTTTTGGAGACCATTACGATACCATGACCCGTGTGCAGGCCAAAGGCATGGGAATACTGCTCAACTGGAAGACTATGACTGAGAGTGCACTGTATGAAGCCCTAGTAAAAGTTATTAATGACCCCAGGTATGGCACGAGGGGTTTTCTGCGGGTTAAGGATGACTGTACCAAACCTTTGTGCAGTGGGGGGAAAAAACTGCATGTTGGGTTTTATTTGTCTGTCCAGCTGGGGCAAGCCTGGGGCTGTTTGTCCCGTTTCCCAGGATTCCCCAAGGCTGAGGTTTCTGTGTAGGTGCTGGGCTCATTGCTCCCCACCAAAACTCGATTGTCTCACGTGCTCTTTGGGGCAGAGAGGTTATGGAAACAAACCTGTCCTGACTTATTCCATGTTGCAGACCAAGGTCTGCCTGTGTCTGTCTGGATTGTTCCTTCCTACCAGCCTGGCTGTTGTGCTGCCTCAGAGGCCTGGAGCAAGATACACATACACAACTTGGGTTGTAGTTTAAAGAGGGAGGTATTCACTAAGAGTGACTCTTAAGTCCTATGATCTGATTTAAAAAAAAAAATTCAAATATTTTCCTGTTCTAGTTAGTAATACCTGTCTTAATTCAGGAATGTCATTTTTGCATTCACACAAATTTGTCATTTCACAATGACAATATTTTGACAAGTTGTTATGAATGAGGACTCCAGTCTGATTTTTTTTTGTTTTGTTTTGTTACTCAGGGGAATAAGTGCAAGCCTGTGAGCTGTGTCAGAATTCTTTCTAATTCCAGCAAATAAGTTTTTTTTCAGCAATCCTTGTGCTCCACGAGTTGGTTCTGAGTGTTCTGTTTTAAAACACCTTTGTTGAGACGACCTCCAGATGAAAAGTAGTGAGGTGTTAGCTGGCAATATATTGTACTGGCTAACCCTGACTTTGGAGCATGGTGCTGTTGATGCTTCTTGCTTTCTTGGGAGTGGAGTCTTCAAGTGGTGCTTGCCCTGGGGAAGGAGAATCCTGTAGGGATGGAGCAGCAAAGGGGAGGAGAGAGGGGGAATGTGCAGCAGAGAGACCTCGATAACATCAGTTGCATCACCTTTCCCTTGTGCAATTACCCTCAGTGAAAAGGCAAGTCGTGGGTGAATAACCTGCTGACCCTGCAGGGAGGAGAGGAGCAATTTGACACAATGAGTCACTGGGGTGAAAACGAGAAATTTTAGGTGAAACTCCGGCCGGGAGCGGAAACGGTCCGTTGCGAAACCAGCCCCGGGTTTCTCGTCCTTCTGCATTTCTCCACTTGCCCGATAGCGTAACGTGGTGATTTTTTTTTTTTTTTCTCCCTTTCTTCCCCCTTCCTCGTTTGTTCTCCCCCCAGCTACCGGCAGCGGGCGCAGCGGCTGTCCGAGATCCACAAGGACCAGCCTGGCCACCCCGTGAACCGGACTGTGTACTGGATTAACTACATCCTCCGCCACAACGGAGCCCAACATCTACGTGCCGCTGTTTACAGCATCTCCCTCTTTCAGTATTTCTTACTGGATATTGCCTTTGTCCTTCTAGTGGGTGCTGCCTTACTTTACTATGTGTTGGCCAGGGCGGCCAGGTTTGTCTGCAGGCAGAGCAAAGAGCTCTGGTCGAGCGACAAACACAGCGCCGCGAACGGACACTACCAGAACGGGATCCCCAACGGCAAGTACAGGAGGAACGGCCACATCAAGCATGAAAAGAAGGTGAAATGAGCCAACAGCCCCCCCCGGTGTAAAGTAGTAACGAATCAGATCAGTAATCGAATTTTATCGCTGTAACTTAGCCTAACAACTACTTAAAAAAAACAAAAAACAAAAAACAAAAAACAAAAACCTCGGTAAGCAGTTCTAACACTCCCCTTCGGTATGTAATATTATGTGACAAAATTCTACGGAACTAAGAGAAGTCTTTAAAAAAAAAAAAGGGAAAAAAAAAAAAAAAGAGCGAGCAAGCAAGCAAGCACAACCTAAAATGGAAAATGTTTTATTCTTAATACTGATGCAGAGAGGTTATTTTGGCACTGAAGTTTTTAGAAGCCTTAATTCTCTAAAGTTCTATACGACGACCTTATTTATGAATTTTGAGTTTTTTTTAAAAGCTCAATGTGTGCGTCCCAAATGAGGAGAGGTTTCTTTTTATTTGCAGAGGTGTTCTCCTTTTATTTTTTTATTATTTCAATATGTCCATCCTTTTAGCTGAGAGAACTCTAGTGCTAGTTCTGTGTTTCCCTCGTTGAAGGTTCAACATGTTGTGTAAGAACGCTGTTTAAAACAAAAAGTTTTTCCCAGTCTTTATGCAAGAAATAGCAAGTTGCAGACTGAAAACACAGACCTTAAAAAAAAAAAAAAGAAATAATCTTAATGAGCACTGAAGAAAAATGGCAAAAATATGTACTTGTTTTACTGATAAGCTGCATGACTCTTCTGCTCACTCCCAGTACTTCGGCGAAAAGGGTCTTGAGCAAACCTACAGTAGGTCCTGATTTTAATTTAGACAAAATTTCATTTGTTGCCTTTCTCTGCATAATGTAATTTATGCCACGAAAATATTAGGGAGTTCTGTTCCAGTTCAAAAATACGGCTGGGTGGGGAGGTAGATTTGCGTAATTAAGAAAAACAGATGAAACAACAACAACAACAGCAACAAAGAAAAAGATAAGAAGACAGTAAGAAAATCTATCCCTGTGCTTGGTGCAGGAGGTTTTGCAATGGCCCAGAGCTGTGCAGAATCGAACCACTCCTTGGGGTCTGTTTAAAAAGGAACCCACCAACCCCCAGCAAACACCCCGCACTCCCCCCAGAGTTGAAGGTCTTTCCTTGTTAATTCTCACCAAGTTCTTTCGGAATCGCGATGTTTGTAGCTGTTCTCTCTTTCAATGGTTGTATCTGGAAAAAAAAAAACCAAAAAAACCCCCCAAAAAAACCCCAAACAACCCCTCACCAAAAATAAACCACCCCCCGACGGAAATCTTCCCTTCCATTAGTCTGGGCCACGCCATCCGTGTTCCGCATAGTTGCCAATGGGAATTGCGCGCCGCGGGCGGGCGTCCGGGGCCCCGGGCGGCGCGGGATGAAGCCTGGCCGCTGCTCTGGGGAGGTGGCCGTGGCCGTGTCCCCCCACCCCTTCCCATCCCTGCAACAACCTCCTCCAATCACTGTCGCCGACACGCGTCCGAGGGTGGGATGCGCTCCGGGCGCGGGGGCCGCCGCCGCCCCGCTCGACCAAAGTTGGCAACTCTTGAGTTTTTTTTTTTTGATTTCCGCGTCATTCTGTTTACTTGGAATTTTTTGCACTACACACGCTGTGAGTGTACGCTTGTATTTATTTGTAGTTCGAGATCCCATTTGCCTGGAAGGGAGAAAAAGGGAGGAAATGCCCCGTTTTTACCCGGTGTCGCTCACTAACATGGCAGGAGTTGGGAACGATGATGGGATGCTGAGATCATCTTCATACACAGTGATGCAATATTTCGCTTGTCATTCCATCAGGAGCCTCGGTCCTATAGCAATAAAATAACAGTGCAGATATGTTTCTAATACACAGTACAGCTACTTGTACTGCTCTCCGAATACTTGAAGAAAATGGTATTATAAATAAGCCTAGTAGCTATTCCTTTTTACAATCTTGCAGTTCATGGCAACTTCAAGGAGCACACAAGAGGCGATGAATGGTGGGATGGTGAGAAGACTTCGAGTGTATGAATGACTTGGTTCAAATGTGGGGGAGGGGGGGGAGTTTGGCATTAAAGAAGGTACAAAAGCACTGACCGGATGATTAAGCATAATTTAATCTCCACTGTGATAAAACTTAAGCAATAAACATGGATTTAATAGAGAAATTCTGTGGTTGGGAGTATGGTTTTTGTTCAGTTGAATGGTGGTTGTGTGTGTGTGTGTGTGTGTGCACATAAATGTGGGTGCTTACTAGGGTGCACATAATCTGTCTCAACATGTACTGTGGGGGACGACACGTATTTGAAATCAAAAATTATTATTTTTTTCTTTTGTGACTGTAGATCTGTTTCCTGTAGCAGCTTTGAATCCATCCAAAGGCAAAATGGTTAACTAGGTTTCTCTGAGGCAGTTCAAGCTTTTCAAAGTTTCTGGGTGTCCCTGGCAAAGTGGTTTTTTTTTTTTTCTGTTGTTTCTTCAGAAGCAGAACTAAAAGGTTTTCCACAGTGATGCTGGATGAGATGATGGATTGTTTTGGATAGTCTCTGTAGGTACAAACATGCTGCAGTTCCACTGCAGGAAGAGGCAGTTGCTGCTTTAACTGTGTTACCAAATTTGTGATGGGTCTGACCCAACTCATCTGAGTAAACACCAATTGTGTTTCAGCTTTCTTCAGGTATGAGCTGATACTGTGATTTCACTTCTCTCTTTGCTATAGCAAGTGAATATTCCTGTGCTTTAAGACACAGAATTTAGCAATGATTGCTGTTGGTGCCCAGCCGGTTTTGAAATGGGCCACATTGCTGAAGGAGTGTTAAAAAAAAAGTGTTTAAAAATACATGTGTAACTCCAGACTGCATCACAGCAGTGAGCCTGAGGCTTTACTCACCTGTTATTGTGCACTGAACAGAGAAGACGGTCTTCTTAAAAGAAACTGAATTCACTCCTTGGTAAATACCACACCTGGCGTTTATTTATCCTAAAGAAAATTACACCTTTCAGTACTTCATTTAGTTGGGGGTGGGGTGGGGTGTGTTTTCTCTCCTAAACAAAAAAAACAACCAGTGCTAAACCTTATTTCATTGTGGATGAATAACAGAAATTGCTCTCCTGCACCTCTGTCTTGTTCTTTACATAGTTACTCTGTAAAGAAACAAAAATTGAATGGAAAAGATTCTATTCCACATGGAAATAGGGGCATGGAGGGCTGAAAAGTATTTAGGGGAATGTTGACCAGGATTTTAGAGGGGGGGGACAGAATCCTAGAGCCATTCAGGTACACGAGGTTTATATTATTTAGGTATTATTCAGTGGTAACTTGGGCTGTCACTGTGAGCTGAGTCAGGAGTTGCTTCTTCTAAGACCAGCGTGGACTGGGGAGGTTTGGGTTGGAGGATCTCTGGAGTCAAGGGTGCCAGGTGGGGTTTTGAGGCACCAAGAGCAGCGTTCCACGGGGTTAGAGGTGCTGGTCTGTGTGAAACACAAGCATCACTCCGAAACCAGAGCGTGATTGCACTGCACGGAGCGTTAATTGGCTCTGTAATGTCAGTGTAATTCTGTTTTAATGCAATAATGGCATGTCTGGCTGTAAGAGCTGAGGCTGGTGAGCAGTGATGACTGAAGCAAGCAAGAAGCAGTAGACTGGGACTTGTTGCAGAGGAACAGCAAGATTTTTTAGCAGTCAAATAATCTGAAGCCCACAGTGGTGTTTTAAATCAAGTGTTCTTCTGGCACTCAGAGCCCTGTTCCCTGGAACCCCCAGGTTATGATGCCATGGATTCTCCTGCAGATACACACTTTAAACTGGCTTTATTATGCTGCTGCTTGTAGTTTTCCGTGAATGCCACTAAAAATTTTGAATTCCAGGCTTAGCTCTACAGGCAAACCTTGAATATTCCAGCTGTGCTGCAGTTGTAGTTTCAGGCGTGGGATTCCCACTGCCTTTCTTTTTCTTTTCTTTCTTTTTTTTTTTTTTTTTAAATGAAGGAGAGAATGTTGTCACAATTCACTGTGAGGATTTCAAAATAAATTTGCACGTCCTGGGGCGTTAAAAGCTTTGGGAGGGAAGGGACCTTAAAGATCCTGTAGTTCCAACTGCTTGCCATGGGAGTTGTTCTGGCGTGTTGTCTGCTGGTCATCTTTTCTTTGGGATTGATTCCTGCATAACAAAAAGTTTTACTGGAATTTAATGTTATTTTAAACTTTACTGCATTCCTACATAGTTAAGAATCACCTGGGACAAGCTGAAGCTCAAAATTGTGATTTATTGTCCATGATTTTAGTCTGAAAAAATCCTGAGAGACCTCCTGAAACTGGCAGGTTGCTTAATGAGATAATGGAGCTAAATGCATAGGTACAGACACTTCCTCCTTTATAGAGACTCTTTCATTGTGGAAAACAAATGACTGGAGCCGAGACTGGGAAATCACAGAGGGCTGGAGGTGAAAATGAGCTGTTCCTTTCGAAATCAGGAAGAATTCCTTGTCCCCTCCTGGCCTGACACGGTGTTGAACCGATGGGGCTGTGCAATGTAATAATTAACTCGGGGGAGATATGAACAGCATGATGTGTTTTATCTGTGCTGGTTTTACAGGAAAATGCAGGATTACATCAGGTGTTCAGAAGGGGCAGAGGTGGAGAGGGAGAGGAGACAATGACAGCTGCAGTTGGTGTGATGTTCAGCATCCTCTTGGGTGTCTCTGTGTTATTCATATTGCTCTCAGGGTGGCTGAAGCTTAAATTTTCCAGGTTCACTACAGAAAGATGCACTGAATTCCTGGGGTGGCTTGAAAGGAAGAAAATGTTCTCATTCCAGTCACAAACAACCTGCTTATCACATCTCTGCTGCTTAGTTTTAAGAAGCAATCTCAGATACAGGCTTGAAATAAATTCCCCTCTTCGGCTCCCGTGAGATTTAGAGCAAGGATAAGAGTTTTTCAGCACCAGGAGATGCCCACTGAGAAAACTCTGTGTCAGAAAGACAGCAAATATATATGTAAAAAGTAGAGTTCTGTAAGGAATTAACACATTTGCCCATATTTATGAGGCTCTTCTCTGTTGTGCCCTGCTTTTCTAACCTTAACTTTTACGCCTCTCTTCTCTAGATGTTTCTGTATCTTCCTTTTTCAGAGCAGCAGCCTTGCTTTGTGGGGTTTGTTTGTACGTTTTTTGCAGATGCCAAGTGTTGATTTGCCACATTCCCAAAGCCCCCTTGGTGCTTACCCACCCTCCTTTGCTGGATAACTTGCCTGGGGACACCAGAACCATCCAATAACTCCATCCCACGGCTTGTAGGGAAGGTTTGGGTTGTTCCTGTGCACCCCAGATGTCCTGCTGGGCTCTCTCAGCTTTCAGGTGGAGGTGGACCCGCCCCAGGGAATGTTTCCAAGCCGAGATCCAGGTTTGGTCCTTTGATTTCACTGCAGATAAGACCTGTCAGCACCGTGAGCTCGCACATGAGCTTCCCGATGAAAGAAATGTTTATCTGGCTGTTCCTCTCTGTTGTTCTTGGCTCAGCACCTCCTGTCTGGTGGCCTGGGAGAAGGTGCAGTGTTGGGTCTCTCGGTGACGCCGAAAAAAAAAAAGCGTGACAAGAAGATGGCATGAATTAAAATCTGCACTGCTCTTACTGGGGAAAAAAATGTCCTGGTTTGTTTTTCGTAGATAAACCGATACGGAATTGGAGTGTGATTGATTGTAGGGCGCAGCAAAGGGAAGGGTTTTTTTTTTTGCCCTGGGTCTCATTACTCAGGTGCAGGAGTTTTATCCATTCTTTTTTAAGGCCTCCTTGCCAAGCAGGCCACCCCTTCTGCCGTGGGCTGCAGCTTCTGCCTCCTCGCTGTGCAGACACATCTGTCTTGGTGGGGCTGCACCATAAACCAAACCTGTGGGAAGATCCAGGTTAGAAATAAACCCCATAGGTCATTGCCTGTTTGTTTGTCTCTGATTTCAGAGTGGCATTGCAAA